CCCATAGTGTATTAGTACACATTTTCCCAAAGGGGTGACAAATGATTTCAAAACTGTCTTCAAGCTTTAGTGGCAGTTTAGTGATATTACAATTATCTATAGTTCATCTTTCTTAGAAGTCCAGTGAAGGACATATTTCCCTTCCTTAGCGTGCCAGATCAAATTGGTATAACTTTGAATTTCTCACATGGCTTTCTAAGTTTGATTCAGATTCATGGCCAGAAGTCCCCAGCTTATTGGGTAACCAGCAGATCGTGGTGTGGGTAGGCATGCTGCAATTTGACTAATCTAAGTTTGATTCAGATTCATGGCCAAAAGTCCCCAGCTTATTGGGTAACTAGCAGATCATTGTGTGGGTAGGCATGCTGCAATTTGACTCATATTATATATATGCCCGAAAGCTTGAATCAGTTGTAATATAAGATTTGGAATTTTGGTTTCCCCAGATGTAAGTCTTATTGATAGGATCATGATAAACCATATAACTGTTCCCATTTAAAATTTTTGAGTTTCAGGGTATCGGTATCCAGAATGCAACAATTCCAGTCATAAATATTAAAAGTCTCTAGGGGGCACTCTGGTTCAGCGTAGGATAGGACATTGTCTCCTGGCCAGTTTCTTGACATTTGCATTTGTTTTGTTGCAGCTGAATAGCGTTGTTCTGTGTTGTCCTTTCTTTGTTTTCACGGTGATTTGCTGTTCCTCAAGTTCAGCTTCTACATCTGAGGCATGGGGTTATGTTTCACACTCTTCCAGCTCGTGGTAGGGCTTGACATATCTTGCTGGCAGCCACCGGGATCCTGAGGGAAGAAGAACGCACATGTACCCTCTCCCTCACGTTATTAGATCTACAGGACCAAGCCATTGATTATTAATCATCAGATCCCTATACATGACCTTTGGGCAAATCGAAAAGTCCTCAGGGATTGAAAAATGCTTTTCTATAGCTGTTGAAGTCCGGATTGCGACCAGGGTAGCATTTCGAAAATTAAGAGTATATATGGCATCGACAAGTTGTTCTTGAGGGGGCATATTCCCCCTTTTCTGTTTTTTCAACATGTCTTTCAAAGTTAAATGGCAGCACTCAAGAAGCACTTGTAATTCCACATTGCTTTAAAAAATGTGTAGACCTAGAAACATAACCTGGTCCGTTATCAGTTTTTATGGAACTGGGAAAATCAAGAATAGCAAAGCAGCGAGTCCAGTGACACTGAATATCCTGTCCCTTTTCACCCCTATGAACTGAGGCACATGTTGCACCCGAGAATGTGTCTATGGATACATGTGTAACACACCCAAAGGAATAAAATGGGTAACATCTGTTTGCCAAATTTCACTTGGACAAAGTCCTCGGGGGATTAACTCCCTCCTATCTAGGCCAGGGAGTTAATTGCTGACAATCGAGTCATGCTTGAACAGTATCTTTGACCTGCAATCATGGAATTTTAAATTGTTTACTAAGTCCTGTTGCGTTTTAGTGGAAAAAGGAATGTGATGCCCTCACATAATCGAGTTTCAAGACAGCCACAGTGAATGAATCTGCAACTGTGTTGCCTTCTGCCAGTGCACCAGGCAAATTAGAATGGGATCATATATGGGTGATGAATACAGGAAATTGTCTTTTCTCTAGGGTTTCCTTTAGAGTAACAAACATCATTGTGATCAATCTCCTTGAGAAAGGGGAAGGATATTCAAGTCACGGCATTTACAACATATTCTGATATATGGGTGATGAATACAGGAAATTGTCTTTTCTCTAGGGTTTCCTTTAGAGTAACAAACATCATTGTTTGTGATCAATCTCCTTGAGAAAGGAGAAGGATATTCAAGTCACGGCATTTACAGCATATTCTGAGTCACTAGTAATGTTAAGGGGTTCTTCTAACAAAAGCTCCAGCACATATAACACTGCATCTAGATCTACCAACTGAGTTGATCCTTCAGTAGTTAAAATAGAATGTTTCCAGGCATCATTTTCTTTCCAGACAACTGCAGCCTTTCCTGTTTTTCCAGAGCCACCAACAAATACTGTTCGTGCATTGATGATAGGCCCTGAAGAAACAGTCTGTTTCAAATAGACAGCTCACGTACATTTTGTAATAATTTACAAGGCAGTAAGGTGAAATAAATTTTGCCAACAAAATCAGCCATTGCTATCTGTAGTGACAGAGAGTTAGGAAAAAGAAAGGTATATTCTTGGGCTTGTAATGGTAAATATATAATACGAGGATCATATCAAGTTAGTGTCTGAGTGCGATGGCGATCTTTCATTGCCAGCAGAATGATAAGATCTAAATGTGTGGTGATAGCTTTCTGTAGTGAGTTAGGTAAAACCAGCCACTCTAAATAAAAAACATATTTACCATCTGCTGTTACCTGTCCAGTTAATCCTATCGGTTGCTGGTGGGTATTAAGAACAAAAAAACATATTGCCATGCCAATTCTTATTCTGGCTGCTTGAAGTTTTGAAATCTTTTCAGATACTAAATCGAATTCACCTTAGGCTTCAGATGTTGGCTGACGTTTGGATGTTAAATCATTATCCCATTTTAGCAGAGCAAATAAATGATGCAATTCCTAGTTAGAGATGCCCAATACAGGGCGAATCCAATTAATAGTTCCTGACAGTTTTTGCAAATCATTTAAGATCTCAATATGTCTTATGCTTTTTAGGGCCTGAGGGCTAACATGTCTTTCAGATAATACCCATCCCTGGTATATCCATGGTGGCATAGTCTGTACCTTATCATCTGCATCCTGTAGTCCATGAGTATTCAGCATGGTAAGCATATGCAGCAGGGCTTTATCTAAATATTCCTTATCCTCTGCACATGCAAGAATGTCATTCATGTGATTATATATGATGCTAGAGGGGAATTTCTGTCTTGTTGGGCTTAATGCAGTAGCAACTACTGTCTGACAGATAGTCGGACCATTGATCGTACCCTGTGGCAATATGGTCCAATGATGTCTTTCGATCGGTTCTGCATTGTTTACTGCTGGAACCGAAAAGGCAAACTATTTACAATCACAGGGTGTAAAGGAATTATAAAGAAGCAGTCCTTTAGATCAGTTTTATAGAGATACCAATCAGCAGATAACGATGGATTTGGAAGCCCAGGTTGAAGAACCCCCATGGGTTGCATAATAGCATTCATGGCCCTCAGATCATGCAGTAAACACCGTCTTCTGGATTTTTTAGGATTAACAAGTATCAGACTGTTCCACAGACTACTAAGAGTGTACAACATGTCAGGCTTCTAATTGTTCCTGTACAAGACGTTGTGCCTGAATTAATTTTTCCCCTTTGAAAGGCTACTGATCAACCTAAACAGGTTTGTCTGTTAGGCAAGTCAATTTGAAAGGATGTATGTGAAAATTGATTTGGCAGAAGAGTAATTTGTGCTATTTTTGATTTGCTGCAATTTGACAAGGTACCTGAGAAACAGTCAGCATGATCTGAATTTCTCCCATATAGTCTGAACCAATTATTCCTGGTAAAATAAATAAGCCTTGTGTGGATACATCAGCTCATCCTATATCAATCCGAAATAGCCTGTTGGTAATGTCCTCACACATCGGTGTTTACTGTGTGGACCTTATGCGGTTCTAAGAGAATTATTTCTGAGGCAGCTGCCAAGTCCAGTGCAGCACTGGCTGTTGTTCCAGCGGCGAGCTCAGGGACGTGGCACTTGCCGTAATCGGCGCCTGGGTGAGATGAGCAGAGGCGTTCCAAACCCTATTGGTTTGAGGGGCACCGGGTTGTGCACTCCTTTTCCCATTTCTTGAAAGGGGCTGTCCAGATTTATCAAATTTAGATTTGCATTGATTACTCCAATGATTGCCTTTCTGACCTCGAGGATAAAGCTGTGTGGGTCGGTTTGCCTTTTTTGGGCATTCTTTGCTAATGTATATTAATTGTCCACAATTAAAACACTTAATCGTCTTTTGCCCGATTTGTAATTGAGACAATGCAGCAGCCAAAAGAGCTGCCTTATGCGTCTCAGTCCCAACGTTTTGACACCCCTTGATGTATTCATCTACATCACTCACTTTCCCTTTAAGAGGCAGTAACACAGTTTGGCAATCAGTATTAGCATTTTCAAATGCTAATTGAAGTAAAAGGATCTGAGCTGCCTCTGGATTCTCGACCTGTCTAGAAATCGCTGCCTGCAATTTATCTATGAAATTCCCATAGGGCTCCTGAGGGCCCTGTCGTATTTTTGCAAAAGATCCTATCCGTTGACCGGAATCAGGCACTCGTCGCCATGCTTTTACAGCAATGCAGGAAGCTTGTTCAAAAACCTGTCTGTCTAACCCTGCCTGTGCTTGAGGTGTGAGATAGTTGCCAGTGCCTGTTAGCATCTCTTGGTGGATCGGTATTTTGTTTGCTAAATTATCCAGCACTTGTTCTGTTACCATATCATCGTATAGTAATTGCCAGACTGCATACTGAGCTGATGATAGTACCATTTTCATTAACATTTTCCAGTCCCATGGTGTCATCATATAAACAGTAGCAATCGTCTCTATTATCCGCACAGTAAAGTTGCTTTGTAACCCATTTTCCATAATAGATTTTTGGAGTTCTTTACATAATTCATAAGGTAAACTTTCAAAGTTCGGGGTGTGATGTGGTCTATATAGAAAAGGGAACGCAAGAGAAATATCACCGTGCTTCAGGGCCTCTTCCTTGCATTTCTCCATAGCAGATTTGCCATCCGAGTATTCTTGTGGGGGGGCCACAGGCACCATAGGGAGCACAACCTCTAGCGGTGTGGGAGGCAGTTGTTTTGCAAATGAAAAAAGCTGCAGAGGGGGAAGAAGCAGAGGATATAAATCAGGCTCTTTCTCAGGGTCGACCTGTCCAGGATCAAAAGGATTCTCAGGGCTAGTCACCGTGTTATCTGGACTTTTCTCAGTTTGATTGTGTATGTTTAGCTCCTCATCTGCAGCCTCGGATGGTTTCAGCTCTTCTAACACCGAGTATAAAAATCGCCATGTTAACGATCACCGTGTTGGATATATCAGCCCCCTGCGCTTTGCGCGTCTGCAAGCACTCACCCACCTGCTTCCACTTAGAGCTATCAAACGTGCCTTTCGCTGCAAACCAGTCACAATGTTCTTTTACAATGTTTTTCAGGTATGTGATACCCTGCAGCAGGCAGAACTTGCTGCAATGTTTTTAAGTACAGTTTAAGCTCTCAAGAAGCAGTTTGTCCCATTTTAACACGATCCTGTAGCTCTTCCATTCAACGGATGCTACTGTCCCTTATTTAAGGAGTGTGGCCGCAAAAATCTAAGATGAAAATTTACTCACCTGTCAGATCGTGTAGTCGTTCAGACGGGTCCTTACGATGGGGCACCAATCTGCAGCGATGAAGGAGACGGCAGCCTCTGGTCTGAATTGAAAGCAAGGCCTTTTATTGTCCAAGTAGAAGCAGAAGCAAAAACAGACGCGAAGTTATGCGTGTGTGTGTGAGTCCCCGAGAGCCATTTATATACAGTTCTCTGTATCTGAACTATAAAGCCAAACAGAATTATTTATGTTTTTCTTGATACATTTGTCCTTGTGACTATCTTAGTTGCAGCCGTTCACATACACTTCCACGCAGTTTCCCAGCCTGATCTTAATGCATTCATCAACTATTATCCTGTGTGGCTTGTTCAAAACAGCTTGTTTTTACCCAAGTCTAGTCCAGTTTTATCTTCCAGGTGCTCAGCAAGGTCCTCATATATCAGAGCAGTTCGTTTTACTAAAATCTGGTTGTATTTTTCCACTGTGTGTTCAGCAAGTTTCCCACGACTGGTGGTCAGAAGTATATACTTTAAACATGAAATCATTTAAAGTTGCTAACTGCATAAATGATAGCAGATTGCTCAAGACTTATTAAAAATGTTTTACTGAAGAAAATCTTGTATTTTGAAACTAGTTCTAAAAGTGATTATTAGAGGAGAAGTAATAAAGAAAAAGAAGCAGCATACCAAACTAGTCTAACCTTGTGTCACTTTGGCATTGATCTCTACAAGCTTAGAAAACTAACATTTTTTTACAACCCGATTGTCTAGTGATGCATGCTACTGGTGAGTTGAGAATCTCTGTTCCATACCTATTTTGTGAATGTAGTTAGTAAAATCTAAACCAGACTTTGTAATAAAGAAAAGAAATTAAGACTTATGCTTGGTTTCATTTAAGTGTGACTTGATCAACTCATCATGGTCTAGCAAAGTTAAATTTTTTATAGGAAAAAATATATTAAAATGAGTAAAAATGCTCTCTTGCTATCAAAATTTAAACCTTTTTTGCTGTACCTATAATCTTCACTACGAGCTGATACCGTTGCCATTTTCTTTCTTCGGGGTACTTGATACCCACACCCAATTACTATTTGATCTCTTCTATACCTTTGCTTACAAACAAGAAAATACTTCTATTGCAACTCCGTCTCCTGTGTATTGCTATTTTAAATAACTACTTCTCCAACCTAAATGCTAGAGGAATGTATATTGAACAGAAGTAGACAGTAAGCATGTCTCTTGATTTATTTTTGAAGTAGTTAGTGGTTAATCAAAGAAATGCTTTTCTTCCTCCAAGAGAATTTAGAGCTCACAGGGAGAAAGAGAAACAAGATCTCATCAAGAACCTAAAAAATATTGGAAATGGAAGTGTCTGTCCTATTCTGAAGCACACAATCCCTTTTGGTATCGCCTATCACCACAGTGGCCTTACAAATGATGAAAGAAAAAGCATAGAGGAAGCATATTCTGCAGGTGTCCTCTGTCTGCTTGCTTGCACAGCTACTTTAGCTGCTGGAGTCAACCTGCCAGCAAGAAGGTTCGTAACTGAAACATATTTTGTTGTTTCATTGATTTTTGCTCTGTAAAAAAAACTGCTTTAAGTTGATAACACTAGTGCTGATTAAAGTATGTTTCTGCTTTTACTAGCAAGTTGGAAGCATGAGTGATTTTGTTTCCAGCTCAGGACACAAGGCTGCAAAGTTTTTACATAGGAAGTGTGAATCAGCAGCGAATTCCTCAGAATTCATAGCCGAAGAGCACTTACCAAAATAGGTTAAGGAAACTTTAATAAATTGAGGAAGTGCTTGAGTATTTTAGTAATGTTATATGGAATAAGGAATTCATGATAGTTTCTTTAGATACTGTCTGAAGAATAGCGTTTAAATTGTAAAATAAATGTTTCCTAAGGAGGTAGAGTTTGAATATGTTTTAACAAAAAAGCATGTTAGTTTTTCTTACGCAGGTGCTGATGGCATGACTGCTGTACTCTGCATGACCAAAGACTAAATATCCAGTTTCTGTGCATGTATGTTGGAGTAATGCATCTAAGAGGAGGGGAAAGAAAAATCACACAGACAAGTGTTGTCTTTCTAGCATAAATGATGTTGCTTATGTTTTTTCATAGGGTTTCTTTTACATCTAAGTGATTTTTGCTCTTAAACTCAGGGCTTTGAATAAATGTAAAGATTAGTTCCAAAGATTCAGCAAAATATAATAAGCGTGGGTTATTCAATAAACCTGAAGTTGTTAAATGTTTTCCTTGTTGATTTTCAGACAGGTTGAAACAAGAGCATTTGATTTTATTAGTTACTAAGCAAGGGACATTTGTAAAGGATGCATTTGTAGAATTTTATTGCTGCTTTAGTAATTTTCATATGAAGCATAACTTACTAAAAACTTCTTTACAGGATTATTCTTAGAGCTCCTTATGTTGCTAATGAGTTCCTGAAGAAGAACCAGTATAAACAAATGATTGGCAGAGCTGGTCGAGCTGGTATTGACAGCGCTGGAGAAAGTATTCTCATAGTGCAAGAAAAAGACAAACATTTGGTAATTTTTCTAAAGCTGTTGGTAATGTAAATTGTTGCATTAAGCTGGTGGAATAAACAGGAAAAGCTGAGTTACCTACTTTAATTTTTGTTGACTTAGCATTGCAAGTATTTGACCTATACCTATAAACTACCTTTATGTGGTTTGTTTTCGGATATGAACTGCAAACTTTAGGTGTCTATGCCTATTTTCTTTATAAGGTGAATCATGCATATCAGTATTTTTAGAAGTGTAAAACTAATTTCTAAATATTTTCCCTGAATTTATATTTTTTACTCTCCTTAGGTTCAGGATTTAATTACTAGTCCTTTGGAGAACTGTTACAGCAATCTTCTGCTGGAGTTGACCAAGGGAATGCAGAGCCTGCTGTTGTCTTTAGTTGGACTGAAGGTATCAATTAGCTCTTCTCTGTGAGTAACTTAAGTGGTTGGCAACACAAAAAAAAATTTTATCTGTTGATTCTGTAGAAAAACAGGCTTACAAGTTCAGAACAGATTCTAATCAGATAAGGAGGACAAAGATTTGATTAGTCTTTTTAACTCAGTTTTCAAGTAATCACACAATATGACAACTTCCTTATGTGTAAAAGTCAAAATTCTATACACCTTATGATATGTTCCAGTATTAATAATATTTCAACTTCTGATACTTGATTCAAAATACAAATAGAAACAGTGGAAACAAATTTAACATGATGCAGTAGCTAGAATAATAGAACAGATGGAGAGCTATCCCATCAGATCCATCATAGACTGTCATTCTATTTGTTGTCATGTATTTCTATAGAAACACATTAACAGGATATCAGACTGCTTCTCTAGTCAGCTTAGGAAACGTTATGTGAGTGACACCTTTAAAACATGCTTATCACCTCTAAAACTGATGCAGATAGCAGTCACCCCTGAGGAAGTCAACAACTTTATGTGCAGTACATTACTGGGAGTTCAGCGGGAGCTGCTGTCCAAAGACAAGAGCCTCTCAGAGATAATTAAAGATGGACTAGAAAATCTAATAGAAAAAGGACTGCTAAAAGGAAGGATATCTGAGGAGGACCACAATTCCAAATGTACACTAACAATCACACCGTTGGGTAAAGCTACATACAAAGGTAAGACACTCTTCTTATTATAATCTATTTCAACAAACCCTTTCATCTCAGCCTTATCTCGATTTGATATGTTTTCTCATCTTCTGTCTGAAATTGCAATGAAAAATTAAGTTGCAGAGAGACAGCTTTGATTACTAAATGATGTGCTGGACTGAAAATAGGAATAAACAGGTACTGCATGAGTGAATGTGACAGAAATGAAGTGTAATAATATTAGTCACAATGGGATTTAAACTAGGACTGTACTCCCCCCCAGAAAAAATAAAGTGTTGACTCTATGTTAAAATCTTTTACACTTAACTCTGCCTATTTAAAATTATAGTATGTTGTGTGCTTATTATAGGATCTGTAGACTTGGCATACTGCAATCTTCTTTACAGAGAACTAAAGAAAGGTTTGGAAGGACTGGTTCTTGAGAGCAATCTTCATCTTCTGTATCTGACAACTCCATATGATATGACATTTAGCTGTAACCCAGACTGGATGATATACTTGAGACAGGTGAGAAGTTACTAGCAAGCATTCATTGGGGCATACAGTAGTCCTACTTAGGAAATTTTAAGTTTATACACATAGGAAATGTAGATAGTGGAGTAACAATTTAATGAAAATATATGCTATTTCATTTTCAGTCAGAGGAGAAGTGCTTTCCTATCTTGCTTAAAACCCAAAGTTTTCTTCTGCATCTACATTTGACACTGTTTAGGGGAAACAGCGGCATGAAACATGTCTGAAGTTGCCCGTACTCCAAATCCTGACTCTAACTGTGGTGCTAGCCTTGTCATCTCAGAGACTTTCCTATAAACTGGTTATATGTAACCACATCATTGTAATCTTGCAAGAAAACCGCTGTTATAATAATGAAAAGCCATGTTTGCCTTCTGATGCTTGCTCTTTTAATCTGTAGTTCAGGCAGCAAAATCCACTGGAGAATGTTAAGTCTTAATCTTTGATCTCTGACTCTAACACTTTACTCCAGTTAGGACTGTAACTATTACCCTATGATCCATGCCTTTCTAAAGACTACTATGCTTATGTCAGCCTCAGCAGCACAGCCCTAGGCTGTGGCCTAAGCTAAGGCCTAGTCTTGCACACTGTAAAATCCACCCATAATTCAACTCTTCCCTTTTCTGTAGTGTTATATACTAGGAGTAGCACTAAAATCTCTTTTGTTTTCTTAAAATGTGGCATTGAGAGATGGTCAGTTACAGATAATTCAAACAAATAGGCAAAAATTTGTGGATCTGTGTAGTACTAGACTTAGTAGTACTAGACTAGTACTATAGTACTACTAGTAGACTATAGTACTAGTCTCGTGGCTAAGTATTATATAGAGGTATTGAGTAATAGACTTATGTTTTCTATATTGTTAAGAGAATAAGTGTCTGAAAACTCTTTATAAAATCTTATTTTAGTTCAACCAGCTGAGCGCAGCAGAGCAAAAAGTAGTGGACATTTTGGGAGTACCTGAGAGCTTTATTATAAAAAAAGCTTCTGGTCAAGCCATCAGAAAGGTAGGCTAGAGATTTCTCATACCAAAGAAGAAAGTTTTGTTGTTTCATTTGATTATTTACAAATTCTAGTTTATTTTTCTGGTAGTGTTCTTTATTAATGTTCTACTTTTTAAGGCTCTTTTAATCTCATTGGATGGTTTTCTTAACGTTGATTAATGTCTTTGAGTATAATATAAACATGTTTTAGAGATGTGAACCTTGTAGCACTCACAGAATATCTTGAATGTGATATTTACTCTGAATTCTGACTTGCCTTGTTCCTAGAATGTGGACAGTGCTGTGGTAAACAGGCTTTACCTGTCATTTATTCTTTATACCCTACTGAAAGAGACCAATATGTGGAGTGTTTCAGAGAAATTTAATATGTCTCGAGGACATGTGCAAAATCTCCTTAATTCTGCTGCCTCATTTGCGTCCTGTGTTCTACATTTCTGTGAGGTAATGTGTTAAAGGAATTCCGATAATTTCTTTGAGATTGGTTTTGCAAAATCTGGAGTTTTGTTCTCTTTAGATTATAATTGTACACAGATGTTGGATCACAACTTTCCTGTGCAAAAGTTTGTTCACCGTTCCTGTTCAAAATTATTTCTCCTGTTCAGAAAAACATGCTCATGCAGTGATATTTCTTGCATTAAAAGTATGCTTTATGCACAGAGGAAGTGCAAACATACAAACTGTACAGGGTATTGATCAGTGTCATTGGTGAAATAATAATTTTTCCTTTCTCTTGGAAGTAAGGCCATCTGGTTGTGGAGTGTCATCTCAGGAAAACAGCTGACTTGCCTTGTTTTCTTGTTTTCCCTCTATTAAAATAATGTATTGCTTATCCTTCAGAACTGCCCCAGCTTTGGGATGTTCATCTAAAGAGTGCTGAATGGGATTCTGCTGAAGGGATAACTAGAAATACTAGTGCTTTCCCTGTCTAAAAGCCAAATACATGACTTTTGCATAGCAGAGCTCTTATCAGTTATAACTCCCAAATATAAAACTCAGGATCTGATATTTAGTGACCTTTGTCTCTGCAGGAATTGGAAGAATTCTGGGTTTATAAAGCCTTGCTGACAGAACTTACCAAGCAGTTGACGTACTGTGTTAAGACAGAGCTCATCCCTCTGATGGAGGTAGCAGGGGTTCTAGAGGTTAGTAAACCTGTCCTTGTGAGATTTGTCAGTGTAGATGTGTAGGCTAAATGTTACTGTGCCTGGAAAACCCAGCTAGTTTTATACTGAGAGTTTGGCATATTTGGTGCAGATATCCCACAACAGCCCTAGAGGCTGGGGAAAATATGATCTGTTGAGGAAATGTGAGCTGGAGCCCCTAATGTTTTTCTTCTGGCTGCTACCACAGCAACGGTTAAAATGCTCTATTTGGACAACAATTTAGCTGTATACTCAGTTGAAAAGCAAGAGTCCAGGTTTCTTTTGTGGTAAGGATTCTGCAGTTCATGGGAATAAAGAGGAATAAGAATTTACGTATTTAGTTAAATTAGAAGATCCTCACAGAAATGCATGAAGTCCTATTGAGAATTCATAAGAAACTTAGATGGTTTCTGAACTGAAGACTTCTATTAAAGTAGTAAATGATGTGGACAAGGTTATAAGTAATCATCGCACCTTTTTGGCAAAATGATCTGACTTGCCTGTCCAGCTTTTGTAGAATCAGTTTGTCAGCAAACCACTGAGTTTAGTGGCAGTGAGGGGTTTTTTTTTCTGGGAAGCTAAATAGTGATGAAGATTTCTACTCTAATGCGATGTTTCTTTTTTTTTAAATGTATCACATTTTCTGAACTGGTTGCAAAAGGTAAATAGTCTTTTTTTCACGGCTCATGCCATATAGGAGCATTTCTGTGGCAGGCTGAAATCAGCCTGCACAGCATGAGTCTGCTGAATTTGTATTTTAAAGATGACTCTTCGGAACTATGGCTATAATCGATGTACTTCTGCACTGGAGTTAAAACTATACTGACAGTTGATATTTGTAGCAGTTAGACTCTCATCTTGAACAGTGGTTTGCTTAGATTTCTTTGGAGGAAATGATAAAATCAGTCTTATGATTACTATAGTGGAAGAGAAAATTATTTTCTTCGCATTTTCTTGCACCGTGTTCAAAAAGCAATTGTAGTGGTTTGACCCTGGCTGGAGGCCAGGTGCCCACCACAACCACTTTAGCCCTCTTCCTTCTTAGAAGGACAGGGGACAGGAAATAAAACAAAAGGCTTGTCAGGTAAGATAACAGAACAGACTCGACTTGGGGATATTAATTCAATTTATTCCCAATCAGATCAAAGAAGGGCAATGAGATATAAACCTAGATGTTCAAAAAACACCTTCCCCCCACCCTTCCCTTCTTCCTGGGCTTAACTCCCCATTTTTTCCAGCTGCTCCCCCTGAGTGGTGCAGCGGGACAGGTAATGAAGGTTGCAGTAAGTTCCTTAGATGTTGTCTCTGCTGCTCCTTGCTTCTCAGTGGAAGGACTCCTCACTTTTCCCATGCTCTTGTTGCGGGGGTCCTTCCCATGGGAGACAGTTTGTCATGAACTGCCCCAGGGTGAGTCTTCTCCATGGGGTGCAGCCCTTCAGGAGCAGACTGCTCCAGCGTGGGTACCATGTGGAGTCTCAAGTCCTGCCAGCAAGTGTGCTCCAGTGTGGGCTCCTCTCTCCACAAGTCCACAGGTCCTGCCAGGAGCCTGCTCCAGCGCGGGCTTCCCACAGGGTCCCAGCCTCCTTCAGGAACATCCACCTGCTCCAGTGAAGGGTCCGTCATGGGCTGCAGGTAGATATCTGCACCCTCGTCACCTCCATGGGCTGCTCACCATGGTTTTCACCGTGACTTGGGGCAATCTCTGCTCTGGCCCCTGGAAGACCTCCTCCCCTTCCTTCTTCCCTGACCTTGCTGTCCTGCAGAGTTGTTTTTCTCACATATTCTCACTCCTCTCTCTGCCTGCAATTCCACAGTAATTTTTTCCCCCCGCTTTGTAGATCTGTTACTACAGAGGCATTTACCAATGTCACCGATGATAGGCTCAGCCTTGGCTGGTGCTGGGTCCATCTTTGGAGTCAGCTAACATTGGCTCTGTCAGACCTAGGGGAAAGCTTCTAGTAGCTTCTATAAATGCCACCCCTATTAGCCACCCCCCACTGCTACCAAAACCTGGCCATGCAGACTGATACAGCAATCTCAAACCTTTTCAGGAGTTATTAGTGGGGAAAAATTCTGTGTCATCAGTTGTACTGGCCATATAACAGCCAAATAGAGCACAGAAAATATTTGTTGGCTATTTTGGATTAATGACAGCTACTTAACATAAATGAACATGCATAGTCTTCGGCTGCTATGGAGGAAGATAGTATCTTGTAAACAATTACCTGTTGGATGCTAAAAATAGCTGCATACAACATCAAATAAATGTCTTTCTCTTCCTTGTCTTTAAAAAGAAGTGAGGGGAAAAAACCCCAAAAGGTAATTGACATATGTTTGGTCAATTTGTTCATCAACTGGATATTATTTGATAACTCAAGATCCTAAAGCCTTGCATATACTAAATTACTCCACTACTAGTGTAAAAATGTATTTTAATTAAATACTACTAGAACTTTAAAAAGTTCAGGTTTGCAAAAGAAGTGTTGGCCCAGAGACCCCATGTTAAGCAAATACTGCTTGGCTACCTTTCATAGCAACAAGATCAAACCCAGTTAAGAAGCCCCTTATAGTGGTGATAACCAAATTCCAGAGGATCTTTCCTGCGATGTGTATTTCTGTATATATGAGCTCACAGCCATGACTTTGCCCAAAACTAGAGAAATGAAAAAGATTCTGTGATATTAAAGAAAAAATCTATAAGCTTGAAGCAGGAAAGTATGGTCTTTTTCTGAATGTTGTGAAAGCTCTGTTCTGTGAAAATTCTGTGGAGGAAAAAAAAGAAGGATAAATAAGCCCTCCTTTCACTTCCAAAGAATGTGAGACAGTCATTCCTGTCAGCAACGGTGATTGCAGAAAACATGATAACCAAAGTGGATCTTGGGGACAGTATTATGCAGGCTCACAGAAAACAATGACAGATGGGTTCCTAAGAGGTGGGTAAGATTCTGTGGGGAGGTAAATCTTAATGGTAAAGCTGTGTTTTTGGGGAGTAGATATTCTCAGTAAGTATTCACATTCTTAGATAAATCAAAGAGATTTATTTATATTCTCAGATGAAAAGATGAAAAGATGAAAAGATGAAATGTTTCAGGTTGACGCAGTGATTTGGCACACAATGCTAGTTCTTATTGCCTGTTCTGAAAATCTAACACAATTTTATTCTTGCAGGCACGAGCGAAGCAGCTTTATAATGCAGGGTACAAAACTTTAGCGCACTTGGCTAATGCAAATCCAGAAACTCTGGTCAAGACGATTGAGCGTTTGTCACGGCGTCAAGCCAAGCAAATTGTTTCATCTGCAAAGGTAAGTTAGAAAAAAAAGTTATAAAAACCCGCTTCAGATGTTCAATATCTCAAAAGTGGATGTTGGAATGACATTAAAAGTGCAGGAGTCAGTTTACTATTAATGGCATTAGTAGATACTTGTAATTAGTAGATATTTGTAATCAGTAGATATTTGTAATCAGTAGATATTTGTAATTCAGTAGATATTTGTAATTCAGTAGATATTTGTAATTCAAATACTGATCTCTATTAACAATTTATTGAAATATTTTCTTGACCGTGTCATCTATCTGAGATGATTGAGTAATAAATCAAGCAGTTGCTGACCTTCGTGCCCCTGAATTATAGGCAAATAAACTTTTCTTAAAAGAGTTTGTTATGTACAAGGTAGTGGAAAGTTGTGTTCCTTTTTGGAGGGGAAGCAAAGGGCAAAAATGCTTGACAGCTTATCTGATGAAATGCAGGAATTAAATTATTGCCTCAGTTTCCATGCTGAGTCATCTTAACTGAAGATGCTTGATTCTGCCAATATCTTGGGACTTACCTTATAGAAATTCTAGCGGTAGTTGTGATTAAAGAATAGGATTTTCAAGACTGTAGAAATGGAAACTAACAAGGTATAGGGTTAACCTCACACCCTGTTATTCTTTCTAATTGTTTTCCATTTTGAATATGCATCATGAGAAGGGCCGTCACTTAATATTTCTCTCTAAGGCACACTTCATACCTTAGGCGCAAAATAATCCAAGGGAAAGGACCTGTAAGAAACATTGAGTTGTGCCCAAACAAAAAATACAGGGAGTATTTTATTTAGCAGGATGGCAGTACTTTCTCTCCTCAGTCTCCATCAGTCATCTGCTGTTGCAATGGCTTTGGCTTCATGTTTGATTTGGCTGAAATAGCAAGCATTTGGTAAAGTAATGGAATGCCTAGAAGAATTGTATGCATGTTTGGTGCAAAAATGATGCAGTCAGTTACAAGGTCTTGGCTTGTATATTCTCACAGAGTAAAAGTACTAACTTGGGAATTTATGTGCTTATGGTTGTGGCCATTAAAACATTGTTGAAGTTACTGTATATTTTGTTTGGTTTGGGGTTGGTTGTTTTTTTCTGCTATGTAAGCCAAAAGAAAGGGATCTATGCAGATTCCTCATCTACATCAGTGCCAAATCCAGCAATCTAGCTTACTGTCGTGTTCGGATATTAAGCTGATGGAGTTTTCTCTAACTGGGAAGTTAGAACAGTGCTTGCATGTGTTACGCTGTACATGCTACTGGGAGACTGTTATATTCCAACTGCCAGCAACGAACAGCTCAGGGTGTAGATTAAACAGTTGCTAGTATCAGAGGTCCTGTATGTCTGATGTAAAATGATGTAGTAAGAAATTCTGTCAAAAGCACAAAATTGGCAACTTTGCAGGCACAACTTAAAACTATTTATTCCAACAAGGAAAATAAATGTTTAAGGTTAAAAATGTTCTTGTTCTAGATGAAACTGTTCTGTTAAATTTTGTGTATTATCTGATGGCAGAACTGAGAAAACCAGCTGTGTACTGTATGAATTTTTGTGTTAGTGTGTTTCATATTTCTATACACTAAACACTAAAAGAACTTGGTAAGTAATACTTGTGAAAATGTTAGTGCTTTGAGGCAAAGTTACTGCAGACCTGTGAGCAGCAGCAGAAGTTTTTTGCAAGCCAGATGCAAATTTGGAAAGAAACACTGGTGCGTTAACTTGTCTAACAGCTATAGCTAAGGCTTGTATTTGGTTTCTAATTGTTTACTAATGCTTTTTGTTGTTGTTGTTCTGATATAGATGCTGCTGAGTGAAAAAGCTGAGGCTTTACAAGAAGAAGTTGAAGAACTCTTAAAGGTGCCTGCAGATGTCCCAGGGACCCACTGACCAACTGTCATAAACTAAAATCATTAATCCAGAAATTGAGATACTTTTAAATTTTTAACTTCCTTGTGTAAAGCTGCTGTGATTATAATAAATATTTAATGTCTTTTGTATACCTCAATTTTGTGTGAGTTCTGACTGCAGAGCATTTTTTGGAAAGTTAACTTCATTGGAAGGTTTTAAACCTTTTGAGCAATAGACTAGAATCAAAAGATGTGATCTTAATTCGTTCCTGTTTTTAGGCAGAGCCCTAGGAGTGCTTTGGGGCCGGACTAGCTGCCTGGTGCGTACTTCTGCCTAGAGCTTAGGTTCATAGCTGACTTAATGCCTTTATGCTGGATATTCCCTTTAGGACATGTGCTTGAGTGAGCTACTCCAGAATTCCTACTTGCAGGAATCTTTGTACTCTAGATGTAGCTAATGGAAGGAGAGAGAGAGAGAGTTGCAATTCGTATCAAAGAACTTGTTCAAGAGTTTCATAAGAAATCATGAATGATGCCTAGTTTAAGCTTAGTTTAAGAATTTGTATTCAGTGTCTGGCAATTTCCCAAAAGAGAATTCTTTTGGGATGTTTCTGTTTGGAAGAAAAGTTTACAGAAAGTTTACAATTTTTTTTGTGTGTTTACATTTCTTGCTTAAATGTGAATATTAACAAAGATGAAGGTTTGAAGAACTGATCTCTGAGAAGCCATATCAAACTCCGAGACTCTGAGTCACACTGGTTAGAGGTTTTAAAAGTATCTGAACCAGATTTGCTGCAGCAAAAAGATAAGCTTCATGAAAGTAGTTCTGAAGATGCTTGAAACTCCTTCAGCTGTGACGCAGTGAACTCCTTTTCAAATCTGGTACGTAGTGCCTGATGGTGTTAGAGCACTGCGAGTTGCGAAGGACTTGAAAGCTGTGACAGGCTGTTGGGTTGAATTGTGGCAGCCAGTATAGTGGCACACTTAAACAGGGCATTTCTAAGTGAAATCAGGTGTCCATCCTCAGGGAAAAGTACAATAAGCCTTAGATACACTGTCATTTTTAATTCAAGTCAATTGTGTTCAAATTTTAGAGAGAGACAGGAAGGTTTTTAAACCCAGTAGGGTTGTTAGAGGCTGAACACTTGACTGAAAGGGGTAGTAGTGAAAAACAAATGAAAAGGCTAATATTCTACAACAATTTGATGATGTATTGCAGCAATCACAGGTTGCAATTGAATAAATTATTTATAAGCATTTAGTAGAAACATATTTCTAAGACCGTAACTGTGATACTTCATAGTGGCTTATGCAGTTTGGGAAGTAACATATTGGAGTGCATTCAGCATTAAACCAGGTCAAGAATTTAAACCTACTCCTTTTCAGAGGCAGCATGATTCATTTCCACTGCAAGATTCTGTGCCCACAGGGGGGTCCTGTTACTGATACTGAAGTGCCTAAGGCACAGATGGTTTTGGAAACATGAAGGATGTGTTAAGTTGGCTCTAACAGCCAAGTATCCTTTGTCCTCAAGTGCAGAAGCAATATATGCCATGACTTGAGGTTGTCTAAGTCTCTCTCTTAATGGCTTTGACTTGAGATATATATTTGACTAAATTATAGGTAATATGTGTTGGGGCCTACTACATAGAACTTGGTGAAAGAGTAAAGGTCAGTGACTGACAGAAAGTGCTGAGACAGATGGTTATGAAACTACTGAAGACAATGCAGCTTTCAGGAGCATTTCAGACAGGAAAGTAGGCCAGGAGAAACAGGAGATTTGACGCTCTGCACAAGAGCCTGTCACAGTGGAAGGTTAGGTGCGTGCTCGCCGCGTGGACAGTAGCGTGTAACCAATCATGTAGTGCATGGACAGGGTATGCGACCAATCATGTAACACTTGACTCGTGCTGTACGCGTGCAAGGAACTAATTGTACTATATAAGTAGCCTTCTGATTGGAATAAACTTGGCGTTACAGAGCATCATATTGGTGTGCTGTTCGTCCAGCTCGCATGGATCCCCCACATTCTGGTGACGCCGATGTGATCCAGTAAGGAACAAAACGGGATCTTATCCGACGAAAAAGTGAGGAAAAGCTGCTAGTGGTACGGCAGGTCTGCGCTGGGCTGCTCAAGAGAGGCAGGAAAATCATGTGCATATGTGGCTAGCAGCATGGGCAACACGGTATCTGCGGAAGAAAAAGCAACAGTTAAGTGTTTTAAGTGTTTGTTGCAATTAGCTGAAAAAAACAGAGGCACATATAAAACGTGAAGAAATAGAAGAGTTGCTGTCGTGGGGACAGCAGAAAGGAATTTTTAAAGAGCCCAATCAAGCATTTGCGTTGTCCGGATGGCGACAACTTGGAAATGATCTTTGGGACTCTGTTACTGTGGCTAATAAAACGGCGATTCGTCTTACTCGAGCTTGAAAGTGTTGTTTTCCAATATTGGAGCAGGCGACATCAGAGACACTTGTTAATAAAGCGTTGAAAGACACGTTAAGAACAGAAAGTGCGAATGGGGATTGCGCTGGGGGCAAGGACATCACTGAGGAGCCTCCACCTGTCTATGAGCCTCCTAAAAATTCCCCTAAAACTCCCCTGCCTGACACTACCTCTCGACTTCCTCTTCCAATCCGCTTCTCCGCTTGCTTTCCCAACTGAGGAGATAAACTTTTGGTGTGGAGGAAGCAACTTTGTGCCATCAGCTCCTTTAACCCCTGCTGATCCGGGTTATAATGCTGTAAAAAAACGATCCTTATATCCTAAGTTATGTGCAAAGGATGTTCCCTTGCTGGAGGACAACGGAGACCTTATATCGGAGGTCAAAAGGCAACGTGAGCAGATGCGCGAGTTATTGCAGCAAATACGGCAACATGAAAGTGGGGACTGTGATACTGTTATAATGCCTTTATTATACAAAAAGACTTCAAAAATTATTCTTGATGTTATGAATAG